TATATTTTATAAAAATGATATATGTTGTTACACATTGATTATTATATTATAAATATATTATAAATATGTTATATTATAAATATAAATTAATAAATAAATATTTATCATATCGTTTATATATATTTTTGTTATTATTTAAATATTCTTTAGGAAAAGAGAAATAATATATGTTTATGATTTTAATATCCCATTTATAATCTGCGTCATTTTTTATAAATATTTATAGTCTTATAAAATAAACAAAAATATCTAGATAATTATCTAGATTATCGCAATAATCATCTCATCTTTCATCTAGATTAAGTAAAAGCAAAATCATCTTTATCTCATCTAAGATAAATTTACGAATTTTTATCTTTATCTTTATCTAGATAATTTTGAAATTATCTACAGCAAACACTGCATACATTATTATATTACAGACATCCAAATGTTTACTGATTCGCACGCGCGTCCGGGAAGCACACGCCTGATAATCCCGCGTGCGACGCGTATGATCGACGAGCGGAGCCGTTTCATGATCGTAGATTCGCGCTATGATGTATCTCCCGGAGTAGTTCGTAACAGCGTGGCCAATCGCATACCGGGCGCATATAAGGAAACCGGCATCGAAAAAGAGAGAATCAAGCGTGCACGCTTCGCGCGTGATATACATCAATTTATTTGTCGGCAACTAAAATTGCGTTGCGTTGCGATACGTAATATTTATCTGCATTCGCCGTAGATACATACGCAACGCGGGATGGGATACGACGTGGGTCTTTGTCCCTTCTGTATCGGGCAAATTTTACACCGCGGTCATAATGGACCGACGTGGTTGTTACGCGTCACAGGTGATTTCACAAATGCGGTAGGGTTGCACCACGATTCGACATCCAACGCCGGTAATGGCGACGAGACGACCGTGCCTGACAAATGAAGCACCGAGAACGAGATAGGTCATTGTAGACCCTGAACCAGGCTCGTAAAAGAGCTGGCGCTGAGTCAATACACATCGCCGAGAAATGCTTCCTCGGTTTGTCTACAGGCGATTACTCAACGCGGTGTTAATGTCGAAATGATATGATATTGATTGACATCACCGATTGTTATTTCAATGATGAATATCATTATCCGCGCACATGAAATATCGATAGACTAATTTAGTGAGGATCGAAAGTGTCCACACTTTAGAAAAAACTGTTTGATTGTACCAACAAGACGTATATGATTGAAGGCATTTTGGTTAAATCAAACAAGAATTTCTAGTTATCATAATAAGATTCGATTTTTTATAACTTTAGAACGATTTTTTATAACTTTTATAACTTTAGAACCTTTAATAGATTTTACTATAAGGATTTGATTAGTATTTTCTGGTTGGATCTATAAAATTTCTTGTTACATTAATTTCTTTGCTTGCCGTTAGACGGCAAGCCACTCTTAACTTAACTCGTATTCAATATTTGCCATAAAATGTATATAAAGAACTAATATTAAAATTCCAAAGCATATTTTTTTCCTCTTACGAGCAGTAGTGCCAGAAAAAGGATGCTAGCTCTCTGATTGTGTGTGTTTGAGCTGCATCTTCTTCTTGCATCACTGTTTTATCAGTTTAATTTTTAACAAATTGAATTTAAAATAATTTATTCAATAATCTAGATCGAATTTATCCAATAATTTTGTTGGAATTCAGAATATTAATCAGACTTTTGAAATTAGATGGAAAAAATTTTAGACGACTTGGTGCTGCTAAGTTTAGTATTATTAACGAGAAAATTTGGTAAATTTAACAGGAAGAAATTAATCAGAATTATTTGGTAATTCCTACAAGAATTTTGGTTCGTCCATTTTCCAACAAACATACTAGTTGAATCTACCAGAATTCTAATTAATGCAACCAGATTTTTTCTCAGTGCACTGTTTATCATGTTTAATTTTTAACAAATTGAATTTAAAATAATTTATTCAATAATCTAGATTGAATTTATCCAATAATTTTGTGGGAATTCAGAATATTAATCAGATTTTTGAAATTAGATGGAAAAAATTTTAGACGACTTGGTGCTGCTAAGTTTAGTATTATTAACGAGAAAATTTGGTAAATTTAACAGGAAGAAATTAAATAGAATTATTTGGTAATTTCTACAAGAATTCTGGTTCGTCCATTTTCCAACAGACATACTGGTTGAATCTACCAGAATTCTACCAGAATTCTAATTAATGCAACCAGATTTTTTTCTCAGTGCACTGTTTATCATGTTTAATTTTAACAAACTGAATTTAAAATAATTTATTCAATAATCTTGATTGAATTTATGCAATAATCGTGTTAGAATTCAGAATATTAAACAGACTTTTGAAATTAGATGGAAAAAATTTTGAATCTACCAGAATTCTAATTAATGCAACCAGATTTTTTTCTCAGTGCGATCCTAAATTGCGTCTGATTTCCAATATAGTCAATTTATAGCGCACTTATACGATTTTTATGAGATAACCGATGATTACTCAAATCTGGATCATATTTTTAGAATATTTAATCCTCATTCATCGTGTGTCTATATGAATTTTGAGAGAGCTACTATAAATTTTATACGTATAAAAAAATATCTTTTTTTTTGGATTTTTAAAAACTTTATTTGACGAGTTACGTCAATCCTAGATCTTTAAGTACTGTATGTGTTATTAAACGATAATAACTACCAATTTAGAAACAAAAGAATGTTTCCAGAAATGATTTAAAGATCCTGGCAAATTTGTTAACGATATCACCGAAGGCTTGATCAAATCGAAAGATACATGCGAGATATCGCGAAAATGCGTATTGAGACGTCACTCAGCGCGCGGCTCGGGTGACGTCGGATTACTCGTAAATTTGTTAAACGTTTACATAAGACGCTATCGAGAGATTTATGCTCGCAGCGATATCGTCCGCGGATCGGAGATCTTAACGACGAGGACGGTATACCGGATTTTAGATCGGATTTATGTTCCCGTACTTTGTCCACTACTTCGCGCGTCTCATCCACCACTATCTCTCTCTGTGATCCAAGAGATTTACCGGCAGGCCGATTTCTTCACATTCACCTTTCATTCGTGGCAGCCACAACAACCCGGTAATTGGTTCGATACACTTCGGCCCGGGGATGAGATCAGCGTTTGCCTCCGTTTGCGCGTGCGAGGCAGTTTACTTTTTTATTTTATTTCGAAGGTCGTCTTCGGGAAAGTAGGAGGGATTCTTTTAGATTCCAGGTAGAGATTCCTGGAGCCGAAAAGGGTGCATCAGAACGAATTTTTCTAGAGCGTCTGTGTGCAACCGCATTCTTACGCGCGCACGCGCAAATTCGCTCGTTGCCACGTGCTCCATGGACTTTTTTTATTACGCGATGCAAAAATAAGTCCACACCGACAGAGGCTGATATTACTCAATCATCTGATGATTCGCGATAGTTTCGATTAGCTCGCGTGGAGAGGATATGTCTTTTTTCACGCTATTATCTTCTGATGGGGAAAATTAATTATTCTCTCAATTTCATACAATCATAATGTTTCCGAAAATTTTCAGAGATCTTCTATTTAAACTGACATATAAATCTCCGCCCATCGCGCTTTATATAGCAAAGCTATGTCTAGCATTACGGCATCGTCGACAAAACAATTAGCATGGAAATGTAAGGATGTCAAATTTTTTGACCTCAATTTCGTGCAGAATTAATAATATTAACTATGGATAAGTTACCAATTTTCCTTGCTATGTATATATATATATATTGCGAAATCTTTTCTGTACGCGCATAAGACAACGCTCAAGTAATCATAATTGCAAATTTAAGACGTGTCACTAGCCTTTCACTAGCCCGTCACTTTTTCCTCGCCCAACTGATCTGTATCAATCGATTGATACATGATGTATTTCGATATTAAAGTAATATAATTTTTTCTTATTATGTAAAAATTCAATTACATACAATATATGTAATATTCATAGACAAAAATTAAAATCTTCTCTCAAATGTCAAACATCAAATATCGTCTAGTAATAATCATTTAATAATCATCTGATATTCTTTTAATATCTAAACCATCTAACAAAAATACAAAGAGACATAAATATTATAATTAAAATAAATATAATTAAATAACAAATATAATATATATAATTAAATATATTCCAGCTTTTCTTTAAACGCTACAAATTGATTTATTCTATAGAATCGAAGTAAATAGTATTTTAAAGTACCATATCTCGTTAACTTTACTTAATATTCGTTTACTTTTTCCTCGCCCAACTGATCTGTATCAATCGATTGATACATGATGTATTTCGATATTAAAGTAATATAATTTTTTCTTATTATGTAAAAATTCAATTACATACAATATATGTAATATTCATAGACAAAAATTAAAATCTTCTCTCAAATGTCAAACATCAAATATCGTCTAGTAATAATCATTTAATAATCATCTGATATTCTTTTAACATCTAAACCTTCTAACAAAAATACAAAGAGACATAAATATTATAATTTAAATAAATATAATTAAATAACAAATATAATATATATAATTAAATATATTCTAGCTTTTCTTTAAACGCTACAAATTGATTTATTCTATAGAACCGAAGTAAATAGTATTTTAAAGTATCATATCTCGTTAACTTTACTTAATATTCGTTCATGCGCGAAGGAGATGAGATTCGTTCGATTTTTTTTTAACCTCGGCACATCGGCGATTGATTTGTACGCGGTGCTCCCGGACGTAAGCGTTCTCTCGTGCTGTGGATGCCCCGATCGAGAAACCGAAGTCACGTGCGTAGCTCCAATTAAAATTTTAAAGCCATTTCAGTCATCAACGGGCTCTCTTCCCATAATGCATCATACGGAGTGAAGGGAAGATGCGCACCTCTCCACCTCCCACACCCTCCCACAGAGCGGTCGGTCATTCTAATACATGCCAGTTAATACATGGATATATATGCAGCACGAAAGATAAACTGTAACAAAGGGTCTGCGCGGTATATAAACTCCCCGGAGGATCATCTTCTCAGTTCACTTCGCGTCTTCAGTTCTACAGCAATATGAATAGCCAGGTAGGCCATCAGATAGTATCGTACACGATGTTAGGTCGCTTTAACCCTCTTAGCTACAAAAATTGTAGCCGTCGGATAACACGCATTGCAACTAATTCAATAATTATAAATATTGCTAACAAAATGAATTCTGAAATCTTGAGCCACTCATGTTCGCTAGTAATTTTTATTTGAATTTATTTATTAAGATTTTTTAAATATTATTTTTCATTATTATATTATTTATTTATATTATATTATTTATATTATATTATTTATATTATATTATTTATTTATATTATATTATTTATATTATATTATTTATATTATATTATTTATTTATATTATATTATTTATTTTTATCATTTTTCATCTTAAATCTTTATACATGCATATGTTACTGAAAATTTAAGAAAAATAAAAAAATAATAGTCTCTTAAATTATTTCGGTTGGAAAGAATCAAAAGGCCATCGAAATGAGGCGTTTTATATTTATATTTATATTTATAGTTTATATTTATAGTATATATTTTCTCTTATAGCGTGTCTCTCTCTGTTGGTAGAATTTTAATTTTAATTCCTGAATATCATATTAATTATTCGTTGATAAATTTTATATGTGATATATGTGTTCAATATGTGATAAAATGATCTAATAATTGTAATTTTTCTATTTCTATAATACATATAACGTAAACAAAAATATGATTGATTAGAGGCGCTTTGTATACGTAATCGAATTGGAAAAAAGAATACTTAGTTAAATTATTATAAGTTACATTGTTCTTTTACGAACAGATTATATCTTCATGAATAAGCAAGAGCAATTATAATTACCTTGCACAGATAGATAGCTTTTAAGTTTACTTAATGGGAGAAGATGGAAGTAGTTGTAATGAGAATAAGTTGCAACAGTGTGATCGCTAATCTAAAGTCCTCTATAACGCTTGTGCTGTATAACGTGCATATGCAAGAGAATTTGTAATTATCTTCCATTGTGGCGGCGATGAATACCTGAATCGGTGACAACGCGTCGCAATCGTGAAAGGTGCGACGTTTGTGACAAATGTTGCAATTTATTCCGATCATACGTATACAAGTTCCATCTTTTCTCGCATACCGCAATAAACATTGCGGTAAAAGCCAATGTTATTTAAAAAAAATTCAATAATCGGGTGAAAAAATTGCCGCATACGTAGAGAGATGCTCGCTTTAAGAATCGATCCGACAGTAACGCACTTAAATGACGTCTTGAGAGACGTTTGAAAAGAATTAGACGCCTCTTTAGAAGTCTTTACGACTTCTTTCAGACATGCAGGCGTGCTGTTGGAGAAAGAGTCGTTTCTTAACACGTTCGTGTAAACGGTAATAATATGTGATGAAATACTTGATTTTTCTATCGCAAGAGACATATAATAACGTAATCAGAACCAGAGATTCCGTGTCGATAGCGGCTGAATCTTCCCTGCATACGCGATGACGAACATATAACTATATTTAACGGAGAGATGTCCGATTGTGCCCCACTTTCCCTCAGTAGCACACGATTATCACAGCGGACACCGTCATTTCTCGCGTGTCGGACATTTCTTTCGTGATGATCCATCGAGACGGTTCACACACACACACACAAATTTTTGCTGAGAATGAAATATTCCAAGATTGAAACCAAAAGACAAATCTATTGCGCGTCTCCTATTTTAATGATGCGATTAATAATACTCATTTTTAATAATTTTACAATATTCAGCGAACAAGTAGAAAATAAAATATATACTTTGATCGTGTAAACATTTTCTTACGAATTCATCATTGAAAATGCCACAATCATCAATTCAATCGATCGATAAAATTAATCGATCCAAACTCATTCGGATTAATCGATTCCCATACAGCACAGAACATTGCAGCAATATTGCAGCAATATTACAATATTGCTACAATGCTATTGCTGCGACATTGCAGCAATATTACAATATTGCTACAATGCTATTGCTGCGACATTGTAACACTATTACAATATTACTACAATGTCGCAGCAATAGCATTGTAGCAATATTGTAATATTGCTGCAATATTGCTGCAATGTTCTATACTGTATGGGAATCGATTAATCCGAATGGGTTTGGATCGATTAATTTTATCGATCACATTGTAGCAATATTACAATATTGCTACAATGTCGCAGCAATACAATGTTGCTGCAATGTTCTGTGCTGTATGGGTTTAATTACTTCATTATAATTCATGATTTATTTTGTTATGCCGAATTGTCACTCGCCGTTTGTTGCAAAACTACAGAAACACTTTCTGATTGCAGTTGGCCAAGCTGGTCGTCTTGGTGCTGTCGTGCATCGGCAGCGATGTTCTGGCGGGTCTTCTGCCGGGGGGTGCTGCAGGAAGTGGATATCAATACAGTCGACCAGGTAGTGGCGGATTCGGTGGCGGTGGTGGAGGTGGCGGCGGAGGATACGCAGGTGATGCCGGTTTCGGCGGCATCAGCAGAACAAGACCCAACCAGGCTTATGGCCCACCCGGGAGCCAGGCTTACAGCCCACCCGGGGGCCAGACTTACGGCCCACCTGGGAGCGGCGGCGATACTTTCGGCAGACCGAGTGCTTTCGGTGGACAGCCGTCGTCCTACAGACAACCACAATTCGGTGACAGTGGCAGCGGTGGATACCAGGATCGTGGTGCTGGAGGATTCCAAGGAGGATATGGATATGGTGGACGTGATAGTGAGAGGGTAAGATTATTTACATATTTTCGGAGAGTTGAACTGTACATCTCTATTTCACGTGAGAGACAATGAAAGAAAATAATTTCTCTCTCTTTTGACTTTTGAGCTTTACTTATTTCCACATGCTCGAAATTTAGAAAGATAGAGAGAAATACGATGTAAATGTTAGAAAAAAGATATTTTGTTTCCATCATTTTGCTTTCGCGTATTATCCATACAGCATAGACTATTGTTGTTACATTGCAGCAATATCGTAATATTACCGCAATATTGCTGCAATGTAACAATAATAGTTTGTGCTGTATGGATACATTTTTTATTACTTTTTGTTTCACTATTCTTTATCGCCACTTGTCATGTACGCGATGACAGTTAGTCTATCGCATTGGTCCATATTCTGAATCCTCTTTTATTGATAAAAGTGCCTCTAAAAGTGGCTTATAAGCCTTCTGATTGGCTGTAAGCCACTTTTAGAGGCACTTTTATCGATAAAAGAGGACTCAGAATATGATCTCATCAGAAGAGGATCTCAGAATATGATTGTTACGTGTTATTTTCACTTAGCCTCAGCCGTACAGCTTCCAATACGAAGTCATCGATCCGCCGAGCGGCAATGATTATTCTCAACGCGAGAGTAGCGATGGTAACGTTGTTCAAGGAGAATACAAAGTTTTATTGCCAGACTCGAGGACGCAGATCGTCCGATATACAGCTGACGATGTAAACGGATATAACGCGGAAGTTCAATATGAAGGGCAAGCTCAATATCCTCGCGCTGGAGGCTATGGCGGCGGCGGTTATCAAGGAGGTCGGTATATTTTTAATACAAAACAGCTGAACATTGGATACAATATACGCGTGCAAAATTATAAAATCATATGAAATTACATTAATAATTACGAACCTCTCTCATTTTAAGACGTATATTATCTTTTCTAAAAAATCTTATCTAAAAAGTATTCTAAAAATATTCTAAAAAGTTACAAAATAATTCTAATTATATATATATATATATATATATATATATATATAATGTTTATTATATATATTAATTATATATGTATATATAATGGGTGACACCCGATTGACCACGTCGCCAATTGGCCAATTCAAAATAGAACTCTGATTGGTCAATCGTTGCTGGTTACCCTAGGCCAGAGTCTATAACTTCTTTGTTAAAATTTGGACTAGCGTTAGTAACCACAGTTAAAACGGTCTAGAAGTGTGCTTTCAGATAATATGAACTATCTTCCGAAAAATCAATATGATCGATCAAAATACGATAGATCAAATGTGGATGAAATACGCTTGAAGACATGTGTTGCAATATATTGTTGTCAATTGTAGTGTTAAACAGTATTAATTTTATTATCAACCATTCTCAGTTGCACATATGTATAATTACTTTTTATTAAATACATACTTGAATTGTAATGTAACTAAGAATGTGTTGATAATAAAATTAACACTGTTTAACACTACAATTGACGACAATATATTGCAGCACATGTCTTTAAGCGTATTTGATTCACCCCAGACAGCATACATGTCCAAAAGACATCTAAAAGACGACTTAAAGTCCTTTAGACATCTTCAAGACATCTTTTGGCCTTTTTGTGCTGTCTGGGACATTGATCTATCATATTTTGATCGATTATATTAATTTTTCGGAAGATAGTTCATATTATCCGAAGGCACACTTCCAGATGGCGTTACTAACACTGGTGCACATTTTATCAAAGGAGTTTACAAACCCTACCCTAGGCACAGGTATAATTGGCTGTGATCAATCGCAACGTGGTCAAACGGGACATTCCCATATAAAATATGTACGCAGAATTTAAAACATTAATGATTGTACACATTAATGATTGTATATTAAATTAAAAGAATCTTAGAAAAATGTTCAATTTTCCACTATACATATTTTTTATATTTATAAAAAAGAGATTCTTAACTTTTCGTATATTATATCTTTTAGCAGGTAGAGGTGGTGGCTTCGGCGGACCTGCAGGTGGTTTCGGCGGACCTGGGGGTGGTTTCGGCGGATCCGGAGGTGGTTTCGGCGGACCAGGAGGTGGCTTCGGCGGAGACAGTGGCAGCAATCAATATTTACCGCCGCGCAATTCTTATCGCAAATAATCATCCACAACACGGGCTATCTTACCAAAATAACGACATATGCATGACGCGCGCATTTACGGAGACAACCGTCACGGACCTCCCTCGGCTTTTTTATTCTGAATACGATAATTCGCACCCAATACAAACACACATAAAAACACACACACACATATATACCTCCTCCTCTTAATCACCTGCGCATCCACAGATCACTTTCACTCGTATTTAACATTTACACGACGACTAATTAGGGTAACTTCATACGCATGCATGAGTGTGTATGTGTTTATATATATATTATACGACATATTTTTTTGTATACATGATATAATTGTGTACTGTAAAACATACGCTTCTGTACTTTTCGTTAAGCGATTATCAATCTCTTATGTTATGTATTTACGTATTTATATGAGCTTTGTAGTAAAATATGAATGAAGTACCGTACGCGGCGTGAACCCCTGGTGGCGGAGTGGGAGAGTCGGTGATCAAGTCAATTACGCTATAAATTTATTGTATTTAACAATTACTAAAATAAATTACAAACTAAGCACAAGTATATTATCTCGAAACTTGCTACTTGGATTTACCCATGGAAAAAGAGCTGAGTCGTATTAAGGACGTTCGGGCGTTAAGCTTATTATTAGATAAAAATTCAAATCTTTGATATTTAACAAGAATAATAACATTGTGATCGCTCTTACAAAATTCGTGGTATGTTATTGGTCATTAAAAAAAGTTATTAACGATGAAAACGATCTTGTTTTTAACATAGGCTGTTATGAAAAACTGTAACTTTTTATGTTTCAAATTTATGAAAAAAATATTATTAGAATAGATACGATGACAAATAATGTTTTGAAATATCCTTTGAATCATATACATAATATTATTATCATAAAAAAAGGTGTTATCGTATGTTTGAATTATTTATTAACAATTATAATTAGTACTCCTACTGTACTACTCGTCTACCTGACAGATTAGAGAGATTAGGAGTCAAAATAATGTCAAATTATTTATTTTTGTTTTTTGCGATAATTAATCAACAAATAATTTTAATAAGTCAAAAAAACTTAATAAATTATTTTAGAATTATTGAAATATTTTTAAACAAACAATTAACAAACTTTAAATAAAATTTGTAAATGATAGTCCTCATTTGACTCACGATTACCGCATGAACGTCCTTAAAAAGAAGGATCCATAGACCTTACAGATATGGACTGGCAATTGCCTATAGTTTCTGTAGAGAAGCAGTGTCCGGAGGAGGTTAGAGAGAGAAACATACTTTTTAGTACTTCTCTTTCTATACAAGTGTCCGAAAGTATGCATTGCACTTGTAGAAAGAGAAGTACCAAAAAGTATGTTTCTCTCTCTAACCTCCTCCGGACACAGTCTGATACGTATTGCCAGTCCATACTTATAAGGTCTATGGAAGGATCCCAATCATTGAATAAAGAATACCAGGAAGGAGCATGTAGCGATATATCGCAGGAGAACATTGGGTTAGTTTTATGACGTCATGGGCTGTGTTCCAAAATTCACTGACAGTACTGAAAATCTATAGTGTACGTCATGTAAACTATAGATTTTCAGTACTAGCAGTGAATTTTGGAACGCAGCCATGAACGTCATAAATGACGTCATCACATATCTGGCGGTATATTTCAAACACATTAAAAATGCATCAAACAAAAAATATGAAAGTAATGTGAATAAATACTTTACTAAACATGACTATTGTTAGATATAAAATACAATAAAATTAACCTACAAGTTGTAATACTTTTATTTTGACTCTATTATTTTAAATAGAATATATTATACCACTTACGTATGAAATGTTTCTATGCGTCCTTTTGTTTTAGAAAATCCACATAAGCAACAACTGATCATTTTTTATTTTTTTTCTTTAATTCTCACTCTATTCAATTTTCACAGTTCTTACACAGTTCTTACTACATGTGACGTCTATTGAATTCAAGGGTAACGTCACAGTATATACTACAATGACGTCATAAATTCGATTCTATCGATATTTGGTTCACTTTCATTACGTCACATCCGTCGCACGGCAAACAAAGGATTTTCGGTCATATGCTCCTTCCTGATATTCTTTATTCAATGATCCCAACACATGTATGGTAATTTTAGATGCCCGCTGAGAGGCCTTTTGTCTCTAGTAGAGTGAGATCGTTAAAAGCCATCCTTGAAAGTTTCTTTCTACCTCCACTTCACATATGGTTCTTTCCCCAATTCGTCTTTCCAATATATCGTCTTTATAATCAATCTATTTTATATATATCTTTTAAATTATCTTTTCTATTATATCTTTTCAAATAGAAAGAAAAGACACGTTTTACCTTGTTTTAATTAATTTTCTGCGGAAAGTGTTTATAAGATAATAATTTAGACTTGAGCAAGATATTAATAGGATATTATAATATATTAATTTGCAACACGCGATTTTAATTTCACGATTTTTACTTTTTTACACTTATTTAAGATTTCATAGATAATTATCTTTTTGTTACTATATATTTGTTTGCATCAACTATTTATTTTTGCTATACTTATTGAAAAAACGTTTGTGCACAGCAAAATTTTTCAAATTACATAAACTTTGAAAAAAACTATCTTCGATGTAATCTTTCATGTAGGATAATGTTGCAATATTTGCAAGAATTTTATTAGGAATAAAATAATTTTAATAATAATAATTTTATGTTAAAAATAATCTTCGAAAAATTCTCTACAAAACAGAATATGATTTTTCAAATACAAGATTAATAAAAATAATTATGTGCGAATAATTGTAATGCGAGGAATATTAGTTCTTATTACAATTATAATCTTTAATAACAAAATCAATATACAAAATGTTATCCATCAGTATAATCTACATTCGAAGATATAATCAACATGATTATAAAATGCGTTGATTTGCACGCACATATCTGGCGATGATCGCAGATCAATTAGCTGCATCCTTACTTTAATGAAATATAATAACGATATTTAACATATTGCATACAAGGAGCACTCAACATTTTAAGATCACACTCATTTTCTACACTTGATAGATTGACTCTTACGTCACAATTGATAAAACTCTTACGCAATAATATGGAAACAAATGTGAAAAATGCGCGTTTGATCACTGCCAATGATTCAAAATTTAATTTAATCAACGACATTGCGATTCTAGAAATATCGAAAGGTGCATTTCACCTGGTGTTTAAATCGACCAGTCAGAATAAAAGTAGAGTAGCATTTAAATGATCAACAAATTTTTGTTCTTTTTTTTACCCTGATTCACCAATCAAATGCTACTTCACTCAATGGATAAAATTTCTGAATGCACTCTTGAAATATATCGAAATTATTGAAATTGAAGTAATTTTCTTAAATGCAAAAATGAAATTTAAGATATCGAAACGCGCTATTTTTCAAAGGAACTCTAATTATTATTCAAATAACGTAGAAATTACAAAAACCTATTTACTTATTACTAGTATCTTGTCAGCGATAACATTATCACTAAAGTTTTTGATTCAGAAATTAATTTATAACAGATTTAATTCAATGTGTTAAGTATTGGTAAAAATATTATTGTTTTTCATTCCTCAAAAGATAAATATATCAAAAGATCACGAAAATCCATTTTATAAGAGAAATCAAATTCCACAATTTTTTAAACTACTTATGTAGTAGTAACTTATAAAATAATGTTATAGATATTAATACTATTAATATAGAGAGAGCTGTAGCAATAAATGATATTATTAATTGATAAAAAAATTCTTATCTACATGAATAGAAAAATAAAATTTATTATATCTAAATGATTATAAAATAGTATTATTTAATGATAATATATTGAAATGTTGCATTATATTTATTGGATATCTTACTAATTATTTTATAACTGAGATAATATTATTTTTTATTAGCTAGATGTATGTTTTATAAACAAAAAAATATTCTAAAAATTTTTATAATCTTAATTCTTCTATATATATGCATAAAGTTTATAATGTAAACAAAATTGTCTATTTATGATTAAAATACTTTTTTCTTCTTATTATCATTTCTTTGGTTTATTTAAAAAAAATTCATATGATTGATATATTTTCTTAATATTTATTTATATAATTGGCCAAAAGAACTGGTTTCACACAACTGGTCAACAATCTGTCTTATGCATATCCTTGCCCTATAGACAAATTAGGTATAGTTTTTGCATAGAGTAGAGGATATTGTGTCTAATCTAATTGTAAAGAATTTTATGACAGTAAAGTATTACCTTTGCCTAAAGGTGGCTTCTTTATTGTTGTTCGAGATTTGCATGGCACACCTCTTCCACCTGTATATACAAATATATATCAATTTTTATTAGTGAAATGAAAAATTGTATTCAAATATAATGTGAAATGTATATAGTTATATTATATATTTATTTACCAATAGGAGGAAAACTCCGTTCGTCATCCATTGAAATAAAGTCTTCCAGGGAAGAAGCACCAATAACATATGCTAAAAAAATAATTAGATATGTAAAATAAAATAATTTTACAACTACTATATGCAATAAATTAGTAATTATATTAATAATAAAAAAGATAAAATATGGCTCGAATATTTAATTAGAATTGTCTAACTTACAATTTTCGATATTTGGAGGTCGCAATGGTTTTTCACCCAACTAAAAATAATATAAAATTAGTGAATAATACATTTCAATTAATGTTAAGATTGAATACATACATAATTTGGCACATGTTTCTTCTTCCATTCATTAATAGACTTGTCGACAGACTTATCAGGTTTATCAATAGATTTATCAATAGGTTTGTCAACAGATTCATTAATAGATTCATTAATAGATTCATCAATAGATTTATCCAATTTGCTGTAATCTATAACTTCCACTGGTTTCGATTCATTTCGACGACGAATTTCTTCTTGATATGTCCTACTAGATACTTTCAACCTATGATGTTCACTTACCTATCAATATATATTAATGATGATGAATGATAATAAAAATGTTATGTATAATTTGAAATTGTATAAAAAAATAAAAACACATATATACATATGTATAAATACCCCTACATAATATATTTTAATACTTACACCTGTCATAGATAATACAGTATTATATTCCGGTACAGATTGGCCAGCATTACTAATGATCAAATTGTTGACTGAATGTGTCAAATCAGAGACATCAGATTTTTCAGGATAATGTATTCCTGGACGAATATTCACTCCTAATGGGACACAAAATTCATCACACAATGTCCATGCCCAGTGCTGTAGCCTGGCTTTACTGCACCACTCGCAACCTCCATCGACAAATTTATGAAACTACAAACATTGTGAGATATCGTTATTAATTTAATATACAGTGAAATATACAGTAATAAAACACTACTTACGGAACATTCAAAGCCTTTTTCAAAAATATAGGTATAACGTGTAAAGATGTGTCCAGCATAAGCATTAATAAACTCTATTTCCCGATCTTCCCTTTTCTTGTAAGCTTCATTTGCCAAATATATAAACAATGTTTCTAATTCATAAATCTGAAACTGATCTTTATCTTGTTCTGGAATAGAAAAAGAAATTTATTTAAATAATATATATTAATAAGTATATTTATATATAAGTGGATATATACAGGGTGAGGAAAAAGGAAACCCATAAATTTCTCGAAAACTATGCATTTTAGAAACAAATGTTTCAGACAAAGGTTGTAAGGTTTCAAGTAATGCATTACGTAGCAATATCAGTGTAACCTTGAATAGCACCGTCAAGGTCACATAAAAATCACTTTGAATTTTTTAAATGGAATCCCCTACTTTTTATTATATATTCTTGTAGCTTGTTTCAAGATCTTTCCAAAACACTATAATAAAGTATTTTTTCAGTGAGTAACTTTTCAAGTTATAAGACTCGAAATAATTTCTTAATTTTACATAAACCATAAAATATCTAGTAAACCATTCATTTTTCGATTATCTTACCTTTATACTTTTATGTACAAAATAATGAGAGGAATCAATTGGTGTAAAGAAAACACATAGTTGTTTCTAAGAAAAAATATGTAATTTGCAATTAACAATTACATATTTTTTCTTAAAAACAACTATATGTTTTCTTTACACCAATTGATTCCTCTCATTATTTTGTACATAAAAGTATGAAGGTAAGATAATCGAAAAATGAATGGTTTACTAGATATTTTATGGTTTATGTAAAATTAAGAAATTATTTCGAGCCTTATAACTTGAAAAGTTACTCACTGAAAAAATACTTTATTATAGTGTTTTGGAAAGCTCTTGAAACAAGCTACAAGAATATATAATAAAAAGTAGGGGATTCCATTTAAAAAATTCAAAGTGATTTTTATGTGACCTTGACGGTGCTATTCAAGGTTACACTGATATTGCTACGTAATGCATTACTTGAAACCTTACAACCTTTGTCTGAAACATTTGTTTCTAAAATGCATAGTTTTCGAAAAATTTAGGGGTTTCCATACTTTTGCCTCACCCTGTATATATATAAAATCAATACATCACACATTTTCTTATATCGTTGTGTGTGCATGTGCATACGTAAATTCTTAAAATATATTAAAATGATCAAATGTATACTTACGTGCTGCATCACTCAGTTTTGCTATCACAGATTGCACTATTCTTTTACAATCTTTTGTTGTGTAAATAGGCGGATATTTGTTTACAATCTTCCTAGGTTCTAAAAAATTAATCAATTTCATATACATAATAGCAAAATCAGTTTCTCCACCTTGATATTCTATAGGTATATTATGAGAGGTTTGACTTGTTTCAAGTGCTTCCCGTTTATATCCTAATGGAATATTAGCACTGACAATTATATGATGTACATCTTCTATACCGTTTTCAAGTGAAAAAATTCCTAATGCATATTCAGCTGGGAAATATTCAAGATTGTTGTTAACAATCATTTCAAAAAAAGAGTTAACGTGCATAAAGCAAAATTTCGATTGTGGCAAAACTGCAACAAAAAAATTAACTTTTTAATATAGTAGTAAACTTTTATATAGTTCATTATTTGATATATTCATTAAATATTAATATATGTGGTTTGTATTAAGTTTATTCAAAATTATATTTAGAAAATGTTCAAAATAAAAAAATATAAAACTTGCAGACATTATCATGTTATACTATTTAGCATATTTTTTATATATTTTATTCTTTTATACTTTATTTTTTTATCTATATATCTTTAAAACAAAAGTAACAATCTTTGAAATTAAAAAAGAAAGAATATATCATTATTTTCAAATCTCATCAATCTATCTTATATATATATTTTATATAATATATAATAGTATATATATATTTTATATAATATATAATATATATATAAAATTACATACTATTAAGATTTATAGCTGTGTCAATAGTAAATTTTATATTCTCTTTCATATTTTTAATGGCTTGCAACTTTTCCTTTTCTTTTCGTTCAATCATACTTATTGATTCTCCATAGCTCGTTTTCTTATCTTTACTTTTTATTTGTGCTGCAACTTTATCTTGTTTTGCCATAGCTTCATATGGACCTTTCTCTTGTTTAGTTAAACTCTATAACATAAAAAGGTTGACATCTATTACACAAAATAAAAAAAGTAAAGGTCATATTTTCGCATCATAATTTTTACGAAATACATTTTTACTAGATTTGTATAATTATAAAACCATTATTTTACAGAGAAAAAAGAAAACATTAACTTTTTTCAGAAATATAAAATACTGCAAATAATCCTTTTTTTTTCTTTTTTTGTACTCCAATAGAAATATAATTAAATTAATTGAAATTAATTTGTTATTTCATTATATATTCGAAGACGATGAATAGTTTCTCGGTAACGTGTAACGTTCCTAATACAAATAAAAATCTAATCAATTTCTCGTAAACATACTTGCCACTCTTCGTTACATTCTGGATCTGCTTGAACATCTTTGAATCCATTCGGAAATGCACAACCCTGCGCTTCGGCACGCTTTTTCCAGTCAACCATAAAGAAGAAGAACGCATTCCTGCCTTTGTTTTTCGGCATTTTCTTCAGATTACGCAGTCAAGAGAACGACTAAAACCTTCTTCTACTTCTTTCACGTTTAAACGCAACAGAATTACAAGTTAAGTTAAGTTAGGTTAAATCACAATCCTCAGAATAATCGCGCGATTGGCGCCAAATTGAAATAAGAAAACTTCTACTATAAAGTTATCTCGGTGACTTCTACTTCCTTTTCTTGTCTCACCGACCAATTGCGACGCGACATCCGACACCGCTTCCTCAGCATAAAGAGAAAACTGAGAGATGTTATGGCCCGCTTTTAGGTAATCCCATTGAATAAAGAATACCATTGAATAAAGAATAGGAAGAACCATGTAGCGATATATCGCGGACATTGGGACTGCGTTCCAAAATTCACTGCCAGTACTGAAAATCTATAGTTTACGTGACGTACACTATAGATTTTCAGTACTGGCAGTGAATTTTGGAACACAGCCATATGACGTCATGAACGTCATAAATGACGTCATCACATATCTGGCGGTATATTTCAAACACACTAAAAATGCATCAAACAAAAAATATGAAAGTAATGTGAATAAATACTTTACTAAACATGACTATTGTTAGATATAAAATACAATAAAATTAATCTACAAGTTGTAATACTTTTATTTTGACTCTATTATTTTAAATAGAATATATTATACCACTTACGTATGAAATGTTTCTATGCGTCCTTTTGTTTTAGAAAATCCACATAAGCAACAACTGACCATTTTTTATTTTTTTTCTTTAATTCTCACTCTATTCAATTTTCACAGTTCTTACACAGTTCTTATACATGTGACGTCTATTGAATTCAATGGTAACGTCACAGTATATACTACAATGACGTCATAAATTCGATTCTATCGATATTTGGTTCACTTTCATTACGTCACATCCGTCGCACGGCAAACAAATTTTCGGTCATATGCTCCTTCCTGGTATTCTTTATTCAATGGGTGATCCCCATCGACATATACACTGGACTGAGCATCGCGATAGACAGGCGAGCGCCCGCTGTAGAGAGAGAAGTACTACATGGGAGGCCTATGTATGTCTCTTTTGCTAGTATCTCATTGGTAATTTTGTTTCCTGCCCATCGAGACGGGAAACAAAATTACCAATGGGATACTAGCAAAAGAGACAGACATAGGCCTCCCATGTAGTACTTCTCTCTCTACAGCGGGCGCTCGCCTGTCTATCGCGATGCTCAGTCCAGTGTATTTAATCGAAGTTTCGTTAAACTGTGGGTTAACGCAAAATTGATAGAAACGGGCCTTAGGCCCGGATCTACAACTCGAGTTAATCCAAGTTTAAAGCGTCTACAATGAGATTTTAACAGATTTTAAGCCCTAAGCTTTAAGAAATTGACAAAATCACAGTCGAGTATAAAGAGAATACTTGACTGTGATTCGTCAATTTCTTAAGCGTCGTCTACAATGGCAGTAGGATTAATGGATTAAAGCTGTAACTCAAGAAATTGACCAATCACAGTCGAGTATTCTTTTAATGCTTGACTGTGATTGGTCAATTTCTTAAGTTACAACTTTAATCCATTAATCCTACTGCCATTGTAGACGACGTGTAATACGTTAAACTGGATCCTGATTGATCCATTCACTATTTAAACTCGGATTAACTGGATTGTGGAACTGGGCCTTAAGGTCCACAGAGGGCGTATCGCTTTCAGGGATTACCATTGACATATATAGGCTGTGTTTCAAAATTCACTGCCAGTACTGAAAATCTATAGTGTAAGTCACGTAAGCTATAGATTTTTAGTACTGGCAGTGGATTTTGGAACGCAGCCATAGTGCGCGCGCGCGTTCGAAAATATGTTTGGTTGGTGTTGGGAAAAAAGATAAGGTTGGCAGTATTGAAAACTCCCAGTGCTGCGTTTCGTTTCTCCCACTGGGATCACTGAGATTAAAAAAATTTGCTACTTGAGATATTAAAAGAGGTAAATAAGTAGTTAAATATATTTTATAATAATATGTTTTATTTGTATACACATATAAATAGGTATATACGCTATAGTTATTATAATTAATGTAATCATAATTGAATACAGTAGAACAAATCTGTTCTAACCTTTACTTAATAAAGTGACATGATTTACCTAAAATGTGATTTAAATTCAATATTTGTATATCTGGTAACAACATTTTCCAAATAATCTGTTATTTTTGGTACTATTTTCCTTTCACCTCTATTGTTATTATCTCTATTTTTCGAATAAAATATTTTGTAATTCTTCATTATTATCATTACTATCTGAAGAAGAACTACTCGAAGATTCAAAAATGATGTTTTCGAGTAAAATATATTGTTCCATAATAATAATTAATATAATTGCAACACTTTCATATATTGTACATACGGTACAATACAATCCTAATGATCCCAGTGGGAGAAACGAAACGCAGCACTGGGAGTTTTCAATACTGCCAACTGTATCTTTTTTCCCAATACGGACCAAACATATTTTCGAACGCAAAGATGTTTGGTCGGTATTGGGAAAAAAGATAAAGTTGGCAGTATTGAAAACTCCCAGTGCTGCGTTTGACTGATTCCTCTTATTTTATGCATAAAATTATTAAAGTAAAATAATCGAAAAATGTACATTTTATCAGATATTTTATAATTTATATAAAATTATGTCAATTTAAAGAATCAAATATCTCGTTAACTATTCAATTTTTGACTATCCTATCTTTATAACTTTTTACACAGAATATATTGCGAGGAATCGATTTATATAAAAAAATTAGGATGGTTCCATTAAAAAATATGAAGATAATCTTGAAATCTCTGAAACGCTACCACTTACGAAAACAATATTAGCATATCATGATCCTTTTAATCGTACAATTTTCGTAATTATAATTTTTTCATATCTGTAAAACGTAGATATTTCAAGTGAGCAAAGTTATGTGTGCGTGTGTGTGTGTGTGTGTGTGTGTGTGTGTGCGCGCGCGTGCGCGTGTGCATGTGCGTGTGTAGCGTATATAAGAGTTATGTGGGCAAGCGAGAAGGTAATAAAGGCCTTTGCACGTTCAAAAATTTTAATCGTAATCGTAAGGTCGTAAGAAAATTGACAAATCATAGTCGAGTATTCTTTCTACGATAAAAGAATAATCAACTGTGATTGATCAGTTTTCTTACGACCTTACGATTACGATTAAAATTTTTGAACGTGCAAAGGCCTTTATTACCTTCTCGCTTGCCCACATAACTCTTATATACGCTACACACGCACATGCACACGCGCACGCGCGCGCACACACACACACACACACACACACACGCACACATAACTTTGCTCACTTGAAATATCTACGTTTTACAGATATGAAAAAATTATAATTACGAAAATTGTACGATTATTGTTACGACTAAAATTTTTGTACGTGCAAAGGCCTTAAGGGAGAGCGAGAGCAATAAGAGCGAACGAGACAGCCAATAGCACGAGCAACGAAGACTCGGAAATCGAGTCTTTCTTGCAGCCTGGCATACTATTTCTCTCTCGCTCGCTTCTATTACTATCTCGCTCACTGCTGTTATTGTTTCACTCGCTCTTACGTACTCATATACTGTCATGCTCATCTCGTTATTAAATCTGCTGCTGGCAAGCGGCCAATGACAAATTATGACAAATAAATAAGTTAATTATTTTAAGATATATTTATAAGGATATACGAGTAATTTTAATGAAACAATGAAAATTTTGCGATTAAAATAATGCAATATCAATCGGATAAATGTAGTTAAATATATATAATCAAAATTTTTATTATTAGACTAATTAAAAATTATCCGATTTACATCGTGTTTGATATCATTTTAATCTCAATAATACATTAAAATTACTTTCATATCGGTAAAATAAAAAATAAAAATTTTAGTTTTACTTCCCTGGTAAAAATTAAACGCTTCTCGAAGTATCAAAGAAGTGTAAACGAACAGAATAAACGCTTAGAAGCTTCACTTGAGAAGTTTGACTTCTCATTAACTCTTCGCGATTTTAAATCTTCATGCATATTTCTCGAACGCTCCATAAATGTGTATGAAGCATTCCGTTACGCTTTCCTTACACTTTAATATTTAATGTCTTCTTTTACGTTTCGCAAACGCTCTATAAAATGTGAACAAAGCACTCCGCTTCCCACACACTTCATTGATTGACATTTAGAAACTCTTTATTTACACTTCCTAAACGCTCCATAAAATATGAACGAAGCACTCCAATACGCTTCCTATATACTTCAATGATTGATTGACTTAGAAACTCTTCATCCACATTTCTTCAACGCTTAAACACTGCATAAAACATGTATGAAATACTTTCCATATATTTTAACAATTTAAAGAAATAGTTTTAAGGACGTCAAAGTTTCGCGCAAGCACGCAAGGATCTGTTAATTCTTTCATTTTACCGCTACGCGACGTGCGATGCACTATCTTTCTCGTATTTAAGTTTAGTTATGAAAACTATATAAAGTTTACAAAGAGTAGCAAATAAGATTAAAGATATACTTTAATTTAATTTCTGATTTCAGAAATTCTGATGCAGAAGCTTCAGATATTAAATTAATTTTTATAAGTCGGACAAGTAAATGTCTGGCGAAAATAATCCGTTTATTATCTATTTAAAATATAAAGTGCAATATTAATGGTACAGTAAATATAATAGTGTATAAACATTTCATTTGTATTCGCTATAAGTTTGATGACATTTTCGTTCTTTAAAAATTATATTAGATATTTTTAATTCATATTTGTCACTAGAGAGTTCGATGACGTTTTGTTTACGTTCCTCAAGGAGTTTGATGACGCTCCGTTTACATTTCAAGAATATTTCGTTCAAGCTTGTCGGAGAGTTTGATGACGCTTCGTTAACGCTTTTTTAATACTTAATAACCGCTTTCTTTACGTTCCGATATTTCAATTTATGTCTTTTAATAGCTTCATTTACGCTTCCGTCACATTCATTCTATATGTCATCAACTATATGTGTAAAATCTATTGTTTTTCCTATTAACAACAACTGTTTTGTATCATTTCCTATTATACATAGTTTAAATGGGAAATTTTTAATTATCTCTCTCATTTGTCTTTTTTATTTTTAAAGTTTTTAATCATATATTAATTACTTATTAATTAATATTAAGTGTTTTTAATAAATGTTTATATTAATATAAATTATATATATATATATATATACAAGGGCGGTTCAATAAGTACCCGTGTTAGAAATGAAGACACGATTTTTTAAAAAAAATT